AAAGATGTACAAACATGCAAAGATGTACAAGCATGCAAAGATGTACAAACATGCAAAGATGTACAAACATGCAAAGATGTACAAACATGCAGAGATGTACAAACATGCAGAGATGTACAAGCATGCAAAGATGTACAAACATGCAAAGATGTACAAACATGCAGAGATGTACAAACATGCAAAGATGTACAAACATGCAGAGATGTACAAGCATGCAAAGATGTACAAACATGCAGAGATGTACAAACATGCAGAGATGTACAAACATGCAAAGATGTACAAGCATGCAAAGATGTACAAGCATGCAAAGATGTACAAGCATGCAGAGATGTACAAGCATGCAGAGATGTACAAGCATGCAAAGATGTACAAGCATGCAGAGATGTACAAGCATGCAAAGATGTACAAGCATGCAAAGATGTACAAGCATGCAAAGATGTACAAACATGCAAAGATGTACAAACATGCAAAGATGTACAAACATGCAAAGATGTACAATAATAAGATTATTATGAGAGAACAGCACTTTATAGCATTATTTGTATATGCATCAACCTCTATGACACATTGGTCGATAAAATCACTGTACTGTCGTTAATATTATGTGGTTATTATGAGAATACAGCACAAGTTTTCGAATGAAACGTGACACACATTCCCTGATAGAAAAACTTTCAAACACATTCGTAATACTTTCAAACAATTCTGTGCGGCGATTTATGTTTTTTTTTTAAAGTTTGGAACAGAATCTTCTAACTTCTTTGTGTGGAGTCTGGTCAAACCCTGGTGGCTGCCATGTTTGTTTTTATTATTAGAGGACGCTTATGTGCGTAATCATTCCATATTTGAAATTCGCTTTTCCTAATATGGTAGGATGAAATACCCCGTAAAATGCCACAAAATTACTGCACTTATGGCATTACGGTGACAGATGTATAATAATTTACGTTATTCTCGTAATAACCTCCATATGATTGTATTTACTACAGATATCAATGAATGTCTCAGTAATATGGATGATTGTGATCCTGCAACTCAGATATGTCATAATATAGATGGTACTTACGAATGTTTATGTGCTACTGGATATGAAATATCACCTGAAAATCCAGAAATATGTCAAGGTATGACCTTTAACCTTTAGTTATCATGGCTATTCAATCCTTGTCTAATTTACCTTTACATGTCTTAAACAGAATTCCATGAAATGTTGACTTTCACATTGAAAAGGTTACATAAATCTTGAATAACATGATTACAACTTTCATTGTGATTTTTGTAAATTTTCGAAATAATTTATTAATAACAGAACCTAATTGCTTTTACCTGACATTTGTGGGAGTTTTCGGCGTATGACATAATCTAAGTCACGAATTCTTGTTCACAGATATCGACGAATGTACTGATGATTCTTTAAACAATTGTGATCAGTTTTGTGTGAATACTGTTGGACGATTCATGTGTGCATGTGAAAGTGGATTCACTTTGTATACATCCAATGGCACCAATGGATTTTATTTACCACCAAGTCAAACTGGATATAGTCCATCTGATATTTATATCTTTAATGTCACATGTGTTGGTAAGTTAGTTACTGAGTATTAGTATAATGTAATAATAATAATAACTTTATTGCGACCTTAGAAGTACAAATGTTCTATTGGTTTACAGCAATAAATATATAAGTGATTAAAATAATATCAAAGTATGATAACGTAAAAAAAAAAAAAAAATAGAAAAAAAGAGTCAAGGTATTTATAAATTATATCCAAAGAAAGCTCATTTCTTAAAATAAATGATTTATGTAAAAATTCCCCTAAAAGTTTTATTATATTTCTGTCATTACTTTTCATTAAATATGTGAATTTTTGCAGGTTGGTAATGATTTCTTTGGGGAATAAAATATTGGAAATAAAATCATTTCTATCTGTTTGATATCGTGGGCAAACTAAAAGAAAGATTAGTGTAATTCGTCTTCAACATCCTGTAATGTGCATTGTTTACAAATTCTATTTTCTAATGGGGTTTTTGGATTGGTATGTCTGCCTTTTCAAATGGCTAGATTGTGACTACTTGTCCTGAATCTAGCCATTGATATTCTTTGATTATTATCCAAAACATTAATGTAATTTTCCAGATTGTAATTCATTTTAAATTTAATGTATGTTCTCAGTTTTGTTTTTTCTTTTGTCATATTCTCTCTCCAGTATGTTATATATTGTTGTTTAATAGTGCTGCTAATTGCCTTAATATTTTGATGTGATAGCTGTGATGTTTTAGAGAGGTCTACATCTTTCAAGATATTTTTGACTGATGTTTCCCATTGTGCTTTTGACAAAGTCTGATCGCTTAACGCTATCTTTGTATAATTATTTTGTGACTTGTCTGTGACACGGACCAGAACTTAATCATATTGATTTTCACTTCAGTTATCAACGGAAATGCTCCAATTTCACCCCGACATGCACTATTCACTGTGTATTTATTAAGCCCAAGTAGTTGTTTAATGAATTTTAGGTGCACTTTTTATAATGTATGTGGTTGGCACTGTCAACTGCTTAATCTTTGCTGCTAGGAATTTTTTGGCTGTTTGATGATTTTATCGCATTTTTGAAGATTACCAAAATGACTGTATCATTGAGCTGGCGTAAGAAAGATTAGGCTACACAGGAATGATCACTGTGACTTATCAGTGACAAGTAGGCTGGGTATTCCACTCACCTCGTCATACGATATGCAAAATGAAATTCATTAATATATTAAAGCAACTCCAACTTCGAAGGGACACAAGTTGTTTTTTCACGATCACTCTACATTTTCACAAACACTGCACTATTTGGTTCTTTTTTATTTGTAAGCAAATCTAAGCCACATTCTGTAATGGCTGTTTCATTTCTTTCCAGCTGTAATGTGCCCTGTGTCAACACCGACAGAAGTCTGTATGATCACCTACCCTAATGGTACGATATTCAACAATAATGGATATCTAATTCCAGTGGACACTGTAATTAGTATCATTCCGGCCGTAGGATATGTTGTGGATGGTCCTAGGGATGTAACATGTACCATTGATGGTTCACTTGATTTACCTATGCCGCAGTGTATTGGTAAGTGGTGAATATCAACATTGGTTACTATAACAACCAATCATTGCTATGAATGCTGGGAACTGTTGCCTGGCATAAAAATATATTTCATAAAAAAAAGACACATATGGTGAAAGTTTATTGCTAGGTTTTGCTTTTGCTGATTGATACATGTATACTGGAAAAGGGGTTAATTATTCACAGGGTTTTAATTTTGCTTATTTCGCTGACTGGAAAATGCGATATTTACAATTAAAACCCAGTGAATATGTAAAAT